GAAAAATGAAAATAAATAAACACATCATAAGGGTTAAAAAAAACTGTTTAAGAAAGAGTTGAGTGTGTGAATTTGATCAAAATACATTATATGTATGTATGGAAATGTCACAGTGAAACCTCTGTACAATTAATATACTCTAGTAAAGAGAAAAAACAGTCATTATTCCTTCCTAATACAATTTTTAAAAAATCATGTTAATTCCAAAATTAGGTATTTAAGTTGTACCCTGTGGCTTTATGCACATAGCACTTGGTATACATATTTTTAGTTACTACGCACTGTACTTATTACCCTGATAAAATAATATGTTAGAAGTACAAATAGTATTTATGTTGTCTACCATGGTGCTTACTTATCTATAAATAGTTAAACTTTACCTATCTATGATGCAGTATTTGATATGCATTTTGAACAGCATTTAATGTTTTCCCCTTGTTTAAAATATAATACTCATGGAAAGTAAGTTATGTTTGTGTATGTTTCTTGCTGTCTTTGTCACTGTATCCATGTCTAAATGTGTATGCATACATATGAAAAAACACATTTACAGGTCTTAAAAGAAAGTATTTCCTGATCTCAAAGTGAGTGAAGTCTTCATAATCTTAAAAAAAAAAAGAGGAAGAAACCATACAAAAAATAAAGACCCATTTGACTCCATTAAAACAAATACACAAACTGGGGAAATGCCTCTTCATCATTCTGCTTCAGTTCCCTTATTCCTTTGTTATCAGTTAGGACCAGATTATTCCCATTCTTTACCTTTTTTCTTGGTATAATAGTTTTGTTTAAGTAAAGCATATTCTTGGACTTGTAAAAGGGAAAAATATCATTAATAAGGACTTTTTCTTATTAATCATGTTACTGATTTCTTTTAATGCAGAGTAGAAGAAGCATTGGCTGTAAGTAGAAGCCCCATTGCAATTTTTCCTTTGAACCAGCTTTGCCTTTACAGTCTGGACCCAAACGCACCAAATAGAATAACATAATTGAGCAGTATCATGTGGTCAGAGGAAAACGGGGGATAAAGAGCAGGGCCACAGTGAACACTGATAAATGTACAAACAATATTTGTCCCTTGGCTCGTTGAGTGTTGGCTCTGTCCACACACCATGGGGGAGGGGTGTAGTGTAGTGTAGTGTAGTGTGGCGTAAGGATGGTAACTTAGCAGTTAGCTTTATTTTTATTTTTTATTTCTAGTTTTATGACATACTGGAATTTGAACTCAGGGCCTTAAACTAACAGTTGTTCCACCTTCTTGAGCCACAGCACTAAGTCCTCTTACTGGGGGATCTCTTAGTTCTGTCCTACCTATTGCTGTCATGTCTCGGAGCAACTGTAGCAGCGGGTAGAAGCATTGTAAAAAAGTGGACAGTTTACACAGCGAGGATTGTGTTTGTTACATTTCACAGTGTGATCTTACTCACTGTCAGTCTTTAGCAGGTCAGAGAAACCTAACTACCCTTTTGGTCACTGATGTTTAAGACTACTGTTTTTAAACAGAGGGAAAGTTAATATAATGAATAAACCTACAGCACATGTGAGAAGGGCTCATTTCTGTGCTTTCTGGTGAGTAGGTTGTTTTCAAAATTACAAGTAATTAATAAGTTAAGTAAGTAAGCATTAGTAAGTTAATGCTATGAGAAATGTCAGAAATACAGCAGTGTTTCTTTATATTTATTTTTCTTTTACTGCCCTCCCCCCAAAATGTTATATTTTCATGTCAGTTTATGTTTAAGGAAATTAAATGTAGATGAAAGCCTGGAGACAGAAAGTAGTCAGTTGGTAGGAATCAGCATAAACATTAAAAATCATTAAAAATTTTTATGGGTTGAGTTTTTCTTTGATATCTTTCCAAACCTACTTTAAATCAGTATATAGTAAAAATTTCTGGTGTAATCAGAATATTTTTAATTACTTTCTTAAGTGCTACTGTGAAAGGAAATGTGAGTAGAAAAATCCTATATCCAAGAACTTCCAGCCTTTAACCAAAGATGATAATATTGGTTGCCTGTATTTTTGAAACAGTTTAGAGATACTTCTTAAAATTTTCAAGTCAGGATTTTCAGTTCAGGATTGGTATAAATCCAAAAGTCACTTGTTTAACTATAGTGTTGGTCCAAGTGATAAGGCACTTACTGGTGTTTTTCTTTAATTTTGTCCATAGAACAGATTGTAGATCTTTGTCTGGATTTTGTGTGTCTGTTTAAAAAACTGACTGGAGAGCCCCCTCTAGTGTCTGAGATAGGCATTCTTTAAGACATTTATGTCAGTAATAGGAAGTTTTAAGAATGAAGCTAGCTGTTTTTTCTTTCATATCTGGAAATAAGTTAAGTTTTTCATTTCATTTTTGTGGGAAGGGAATTGTTTCCTTTTTTAAAAGGGTTGTTGGAATTATGGATAGAGTGTGGAATGAGAGCAGCAGAAAACATAGGGAAGAAAGAAGCAAAATGTTATTTCTACCTTCTTAGAAATTGTTATTTTGAAATGGCCTGGAACAAAGCCAAACTATGTAGTGTTGTTTGATTTGTTTCTGAATTAAATGAAGCTTTAAAATACTTTCTTTTGGAATTCTTTATGCTGCAGATCTCATCTTGAAAGAGTTCTTTCTAGTTTCTGAAAATAATTTCCCTAGAAAACAGCTTTAAAATAGAGCCTGATTCTCTTAGTGGAGATGTTCTTTTTTTGTTACTACAATTGCCATATCCTTCTGTGGTTGTACTTTATAACTGTATTGTTTGTTCTAATGGCTTCCATTATTTTTCAAACAAGAAAATAAGGAGATTCTTAAATTACTAGCTTTCTGCCACCTCTTCTACACACACTCCTCTCAAACAGACAGGCCTTCACCTAAGAATCTTGGGTTATGGAAACAGACCTTTCTCATTTGTCCCATGGGCCTTTGTAGCTTGAACAAGGAAAGTAGTGTTCTGAAAACTACAGCATTTACGAAGGCTCTAGTAAAAGTGTTTCATGTACATGGACTGGAGATTAACTCCTTTCATCTTGTTCTCCAACAAATTAAACAATCCAGAGATTTCAAGTACTTGCTTGGAAATGAAATGCTTGGTTGAATTTTAGTCTTAATTGCTATTGTTCATTTTCACAGCTGCATTTTGACACTTATAACTGCCTAAGCCATGCATTCTTCACCACCAGGATAAACAACAGCATTTTGAAAGCCATCACTCTGTGGCATCTTAAATTGCATATCTGTTATTGGCTGCTTTGGTTTTATTTTGATTCCATTCTTGGTAAAATTAGGGAGAAATTACTCTTCTACATTTGTACATAAAATTGTCAATAGAATCATTGCTGGATTTTCATGAAAATTCATTAATAGTCCTAGATTTTGAAGGAACAGTAGAGATTATGGATTTATTTTAGTCCCAGGAAAATAATTTTTGTTTATTTTATGAGACTAGTTATTTAAGGAGGGATTTGAAAGAAAGTACTAGGATTTCACTTTTCTTTCTTAGGTAGAGCAGTATTCTGAATATAAATCCAGAAGCCAGATTTATTCAGTGATTTAGCAAGTCATATTTATGTACCTAATTGTTGCTTTAAATGTTTAATAATCTCTTCCCTGCTGTTACAGACATTGGAGGGATTGAAATAATTTTGAAATTTATATTTCTAAGATTTTAGTGTCAATTTCAATGAAATCTTCTTAAAAACTGCCATTTGATGACTGAAAAATCAGATAGCTATCACTTACACATAATCCTTTTTGCTACCAAATTCTGGGGGGTTCCCCCCCACTATTTATAAGACATTTATTTACTTATTTATTAACAGGGTCTCACGCTATAACTCAGGCTGGCCTAGAACTAATGAGCTTCCTGCCTCATCCTTCTAAGTGTTGAGATTACAGGTGTGCACCACTAGCCTCAAGATTTAATTTTTAGTGGAAGATTTGAATTACCATATTCATAGGTGTCTGTTATAACAATTGTTCAGTAATAATTGGAGCTTTAGACATCAAACAAATACTAATATAGTATGTCACATTTTCACAGTATTTTACTCCATCTCAATGTATTTGAATTCTTAAATTTATATAAACATGACAAATTACATTTTAACAACTAAACATTTTGCCCTCATGTCTTAATTTTAGATATTCAAACCTAATTCTTATTAAAATATTACTTAATTAAAAAATTCTCAGATGATTATTATACTCAATAACAGGTAAGACTGCTTACTTCCCATCTGTCAGCCAGTGTGTTAAATGGCATTTCATACGTCCTCTGAGGCCTTAGTTTTATTTTTTTTCCCACTTCACATTTGAGGAAATTGCGATAAAGATAATTAAAGTGTTAGTAATTGGAGTCACTTCTTTCTGACTCCCGGAGTCTACATTCTTGACCATTGTTGAAGGCTTAAGGAAAAGTTGAATATAAAGTCTCATAGTGGAACAACATAGGACCAAAAATCAGGGTGTACAGTATCTATCCAATGCATGGACACGTGTATATGGTGTAATCGGTGAAGAAAGACTAAAGGATTATGAATAAATGTTTGTGGTGGTTCTAAACATTTGTAGAGTATTATCTTTGATTTATCATATTTTTAAAAACATGCTGTAGATATGTTCAGTATGCCTAATCGACACAGTTTCTGGGAACAGAAAGCATCAATCTACATGTAAACCTAGTCTGGTCAGAAAAGTGGCAACTTAGTTTCATAATAGACTCTAGCATGTTCAGTTTCCTTTTTAATTTGACTTAAAGCCTTTTTTATTTGTTTGTTACTGGACTTATGCCAAAGCTAATGGTGTCTCCTCTGTATTCTTAAGGGCTAATGGAATAATAAAGTCTTTTTTAAAGATAACTGATGTGTGTTCTATACTGTCCTTGGATAGCTTGTACACAGGCTGTACCCTGTAGATGTCGCTCATTAGGATACCCAGTAGTGTCATTATTGAGTTTTCATGTGTTTCTCAGTTTTGATGCTAATCTTTGTGCGTATGTGCATGCATTTTTTTTTCTCTGCAGCACCAATGTGGTAATGAATTATTCAGAGATTGAGTCTAAGGTTCGAGAGGCAACGAATGATGATCCTTGGGGACCTTCTGGGCAACTCATGGGAGAGATTGCCAAGTAAGTGATAATTTGACTCAGCAGTGCAGGAAGAATCAAAGTATCTTTAGGAGAAATGTGAAATTTGTTCTCAGTTTTAAACTATTCAGCTTCCAGATATAAATTTCTCATAATCAGATGATAATATAGATAGTCTTATGTAGGCTCCATTCCCCTAAAATTAGCTCAACCACATTTTTTTCACTGAAGTTTAGAGACTTACTATAGCTTGCCATGTAGGTTTTGAAAAATGAATATAAAATATTTGAAGTGAAATTTTAAAAATTTTCCTGGAGAATATTTGGGCCTCTGTGCCAGGGAAAAAAGAGCTTTCAAAATATGATATTAATTAGCAAGGATTGCAGATGTGCTATGTGTTACATAAAATACAGGAAAAACATTTTTGAGGAAGTATGTCATCTAAATTTTTGAATTGAGCTTATTTTTTTTTAAACTCTTTATGGAAATAGAACAAGCCTGCCATCTACTGTCAAAATTAACATACTGCAAACACTGAAGGAAAATTACCTTTTTTTTTTTTTTTTAGGGCTACATTTATGTATGAACAATTTCCAGAACTTATGAACATGCTTTGGTCACGAATGTTAAAAGACAACAAAAAGAATTGGAGAAGAGTTTATAAGGTAAGAACATTTGCCTGTTTTAATAACTTAAATATTGAAAGCAACTGCCTTAATTTTAGGCATATATCTAATATGATTTTCAAGTACATTAAGTCTTAGAGTACAATATTCTAAAACACATAAAAGAAGTAGATTTATTATCTGTATAATTTTTGCTTATCATAACCATTCTTACTATAAAATGTTTAAAATTTGTAGGACTTCTAAATGTTGAATATTTTATTTGTTGTAATGTCTCCAACTAAAAATCTACACATCAAGAGTAATGAATTTCTAACCCTGTCCATGTTTATAGCATATGTAAAGGTGAGGTGAAAGCCAGTCTAATATGGTTTGTCATCTCTACGTAAAATTGGCCTAGGTTGTAATAGTATTGTAACAGTAGTCAGCACCCATAAATATATTAGTTCAGAATACAATTGAATATTCTGAAACATAGACTTAAACTCTAACATTTTAAGTTTGTGAATGTGTACTTTTTGTCAAATTCCTTTCAGTTTTGATATCATGTAATGTAGAATTTAAAACAAAATAGCCATTGTTCTTCTGTTCTCACTATATTTTCTTGCTACTCAAAATACATTTTCCAAAATGGCATATAACATTACTATTTGACATCTTCAAAGTTCTGGCTTTCAGGATTGTAGATCTGCGCTTTAGTGTTTTTATTTTGTTTTTTGTTTTGATGATACTAGGGGGCTTGAACTCAGGGCTTCAGGCTTGCAAGGCAGGTGCTCTACTGCTTCAGCCACACTTTCAGCCCTGTTTCTGTGGGGTTTTTTTTTATTGCTTATTTCTAAAAATGTTCACTAAAATTTCTGTAAAGTTGCCTTTTGAAATTAGAGTTTTTTAAAGTTATGGGTAACCACGTTCTAAAGAAATAAATCGGTAAGGTGATAGTTCATGCCCTCAGTTTCACCAACCTCTAGATTTTCATGTGTCTAATTATCTTTGAGTTTTATTCCAATCAAGGTTAAGTTTCAAGATGTACAAGTCAGTGGTTTTCAGTATATTCAGAGTCACAAGTAATTTCAGAACAATTTTATCCCCACGTAAAGAAAGCACATTTTCATTCTCAATCATTCTAAGTTCACATTTTAGCAAAATTTTCTGAAGCACTAGTTTTTCTTTTACTGTTAGCAGCAACTTTTTGAAACAAAAATCAAATAACCTCAGAATTAAATTTTATCTGGGGAGAATACAATAATTACCAAATAATTATAATAATTCACAGTTCCATAATGCTCAGATAAAAAAAATAAAAAGCTAGCTTTCTAAAATCTTACTGTTAATTTATAGTAGCATTGAATAGTTGATAATTATTTACTCACTATCAAAGGAACTTCAAATTGATAATACAAGTTTGAGTCTATATTTAAAGCCTAATGTAAGGTAAAAGCTCCCTGCCACCACCATTAAGATATTTTAGTTGCTGATTTTGGAACTATTTTTTTTTTTTAACATTTACCAAAGCTCTGCAAGAACTTATTTCATTAAATTATTTGGTGCTTTGTCTTTTACAGTCATTGCTGCTCCTAGCTTACCTCATAAGAAATGGATCAGAGCGTGTTGTTACAAGTGCCAGAGAACACATTTATGATTTGCGATCCCTGGAAAATTACCACTTTGTAGGTGAGCAATAGAAAACCTTATAAGCAAATTAGAACAGTAGTTGGAGTTGTCAGTCACCTGAGCCAGCTTAGAAGCTTCTCTGCTCTAATTAGAATGTGACTGTTGCTGGCTGTGTGAGGAGTACAGAATCCAAGACGTGGGGCCCTAGAGTATTAATTAGTGAAGACAAGAACTTGCAGAGAAGACCAGCTAATAACAACAGAACCAACACAACACGAGGGTTCGGGTTTATATTAAAATATGCACTGGAGACCGGTCCCCTGTGGTGTCCATAAAGGAATGGCTTTAATCATATGGGAAGAAAAGGTTAGAGCTCCAAAACACACACATCTGTTTGAAGCTGGGTTCTTTCCTCCCTCCCACCAAATAATATTTACTGTGCAAAGGCAGCAAGGCCAGAGTGTGTTTTGAATGTGAAAGAAGCTAGAGAATGAACCACATTTCATTTTGTAGCATGCCCTGGTTGAAAATACTTAAAAATTCAGTTTTTTAGCCATATTAAATCCTGGTAATTAATGTCCTCAAACTTGTATAGGGGAAATCAAGACATTTGGAGTGTTTCTCAGTCATTAAAATGTTAAAGTGGTTCTTATTTTGACCCATTCTGCTAAAATATGATAAAAAACATTTAAACATATATTAATTTCATATGGTCATCATCTGTAATCCTTTCAGTGGATCTTTAATTGACCTGCCTAGTACTAATATCTGTGGTCTGTAAGTTAAAACTCACATTTCAGAACTTGGAGTTCGCTGAAGAGGAAATGACAAAGTTAAGTGCCACATCTGCCTTTTTTTTTTTTTAAACATTTTTAGAAAATTGGAGTTGATTTCTTATTTTGTAGCTGTAGTTTTTTTTTTTAATCTTAAAGTTTGGCATATTAAGTGAATTCTTAAGGTTTTGTTTCTCCCTTTCTATCCTCAAGATGAACATGGCAAGGATCAAGGTATAAACATTCGCCAGAAGGTGAAGGAATTAGTTGAATTTGCCCAGGATGATGACAGGCTTCGTGAAGAGAGAAAGAAAGCAAAGAAGAACAAAGACAAGTATGTCGGGGTTTCCTCAGACAGTGTTGGTGGATTCCGCTACAGTAAGTACCAATAGGCTAGCATCTCAGCATCAGCTTAGCTTCTTAGGTGGATTTTAAGAATCACCGAAATACAAAGACCAAAATTTTATTTTATTTTCAGAAATACATGGCATACTTAACTATTTTGACTCCTATCACATGGATCTCAGGAGCCTTCTTTTCTAATTTTATTGCGGATTCAAGAATATGATTTTAACTGGTAGTGGCTTTAATGGCTAATTTAGATTAGTGTAAACTTGGAGATTAGAAAAAACACCCTTCTTTCTCTGTTAGGGTTACCATTCTTAAAAAAGGAAGTTCGTTTTTTTAAGTCACAGTCAAGAGCATGGAAACACAGTTTGATCAAGAGGTTCATCTTTCTAATTCACAACCAGTTTAATTCTAATTTTGGCCTAAAACAGATAAGCCTCCTGTAAATCAGTCCAGCGTCAGTCTCTCTTTCCTTAATTAAGCTCTGTATAATTTGACATAGGAAAAAATGACTGACAATTCTGCCAGTTTTTCATCTGAGCCTGTTGCTTTGTTTGTTGTTCCTAACACATTAAAGAGCAGCTAGAAGCCAGATGTGGAAGAGTATCAGTTGGAGGCCAGTGTGAGCTGCATAGGGAGACCAAGTCTCAAAAAATAAAAAAAGGAACTAGAACATTCCCCTCTAATGTTTATTTTTAATGTTAGGCTCTTGAAACATAAACACAAAGTAAGAATTCTCTTTCATAGCATATTCCTTTGGACTGACTTGTTCTGTTTTCCTTGAGCTTCCGTATAGTGCCCTGTCCTTCTGTGTGCACAGACGGCCAGTGGTGTGTATCTTAGCAGCTGCTTATTGGGGCTCTCCAGCTCCTCCACCATGTCTAAGTTTGTTCATACTTACATTATATTGAGATCTTGAACTCCTTTACTGAACTGTGTAAAAATCTTCTATTATTTTATAATTGCCTGTAAAATAGCTTTATGCCTTTGCTCCTCTGCTTTCCTGTCCACAAAGAAAAAATACTACATTTAGTTATTTAAGATTGTTTCTAACATCAGAAAAGTCCCTTTTTTATGTCAAAGGTCAACTCCTAAATTAAGACTATTTCCTTTCAAAAATATGATTTTGATACTTTATGGAGTTATTTGTATAGGAGAATACGAAATGTGGGTTTTTTTCCCCAAGTTATGGTTTTATTTAGCTCCTTCAACATAGCTATGGCAATCTAATGTGTTTTTCCATAAAAATTGCTATTTGCAACTCATTTCCTTATTCTTCTTCCTTGTGTCCCTTTTTTTTAACCAGCACAATATGTAATTTTATCAGGTAAATTTAGAAAATTGAGTAAGTTTTCAGACTCATTCACAGCCAACTAATCAAGCATCCATATTGGATGTAGAGTTAACCCATGTGTTCAGACTTTGCTACTCAGGTTCAGGTGTTTTGTGTGGTTTTTCATTTTGACATTATGAAATACCTTAAAATCCGTTGTCTTTAGCACTAACTTAGTATGATGCCTACAACACTAATTAGTTTGGTTTTCATCTGTCTTAATTTTTCCTGTAAATTTGCTTCTTTTCAACGTACAGTTCATCACATTGACACTGAAATGTCAAATACATTATTGGAAATTCTTGGTTTTTTTTTTTTTTTGAAAGCTATCGTGGTTTTACCATTTTTTTAAATTGTTTTTCTTTTCTTTTTTTGTGGTATTGGGAGTGAAAACCAGAGCTTCGCCCATGGTAGGCAAAGCTCTCTACCCCACTGAGCTACAGTCCCAAGTCTTTTTTAGTCCAGGACTTGCTTAGTTGCCCAGGCTGACCCCAAACTTGAGATACTCTTGGCTCAACCTCTGTAGTAACTGGGATTACAGATGTGAACCACCATACCCACCTCCAGGTTTTAAGTTAGGCCTCTTGCATTGTAGGTAACTGTCCTACCACTGACCTACATTCACCAGTCCCTAGTAGATATATTTTAAAATCCTCAAACCCTCAAACGTTTGCAGAAAATTTTCAATCTTGCTGGCAGTTTAGCAAAATAGATTTTTATAGTCTCCAAAAGGTCATGTATCCAATCAGAACTTATAAAGATTCAAAACTAAAGCTTTGTTAGCCTTTTGATTATTTTATTATTTGAAATTGATTCATTTTCAGCATTTTGTTTTTCTTAGACCTCCCACTTTTGCTTCTTACGTTGAATTTAGTGTGGAAATGGGGGGTTCTGTTTTGTGTTCATGATTCCTATCTCCTTGGGCCTCTGAGAGCAAGGACTATAAGTTTCCCTATTCTGAACTACTTGAGCATACTTTAGAATTCTAACATGTGCAGTCTTTGGTAGTTAGAACATTTTTTTCTATTTATCACAATTCTAAAATTGTGACAAATTTAAGGCTCTCCAGGGCCTTAAAATCCTTTGAATTATTTTTCTGCTTGATGCTAAAGAGTGACATTCGCTGAATTCTTTCAGCATATTGGGATATGCAGTGTTCAGAGTGGAGCCCCTTTCAGGTTTTGTTTTGTTTTTTTTGTTTTTTTTTTTTTTTAAGATGTTGTCTTGATGTATTGTCAGGCTGGCCTTGAACTCTTGGTCTCAGTCAAATAAGCCCCATGCTTCACCCTCCCTCCCACGTAGTTGGGACTGACTGTAGGCTCCTGCCACTGTGCCTAGTTTACTTTCTATTTTTAAAACACTGCTGCTTAGTACTTTTCTGAAAACTGAAAGCCATTAAAAGACAGGAATGAAATTTAATTCATTAAATGACTTGAAAAACAAAAAGATTTCCACTTCTCTTGTGCTATTAGATTTTTGTTTTACTACTCATTTCCACAGCCAGTAGGAACTTTCTGAACGCTGAGCATTAAGGTTGTGAAAGTTCGTAAGCAAAAGCTCTCAGATCTGCATTCCTGCCACTTAGTGACTGTCATTATGGGCTGTGCCTTTCTCTGATTGTGTCGATTCAGCACTGTGGGAGCTTTGTGTTTCCCTTTGAAAACAATTTTATTAGGAGGAAAAGCTTCAGAAACCAGGACTGTGGACACCTTTTGAATTTAATGTCCTTACAGTTGATTCTTTTTTTTTTTTTTTAATGTGTTATATAGGTGAAAGATATGATCCTGAGCCCAAATCAAAGTGGGATGAAGAGTGGGATAAAAACAAGAGTGCTTTTCCATTTAGTGATAAATTAGGTGAACTGAGTGATAAAATTGGAAGCACAATTGATGACACCATCAGCAAGTTCAGGAGGAAAGACAGAGAAGACTCTCCAGAACGATGCAGGTATTAACATGTTGCCTCTTGAGTCTCTTGGAAAGGATACTAAATTTATTTGGTTGGGGTTTTGTTTTATTTTTATTCTTATCTGAAGTTTAGCTTTTTTGTGGAACTAGGGATTGAACTCAGGGCCTCACCTCTTTTTTTTTTTTTTTAATAGACTCTTTTTTACAGGAATCATTGTGCATAAAGTATAGAAGGGTTGCCATTATGCCCCCTCTTTCCCTCCCTACAGTATTAACCTCTTGCATTAGTGTAGTGCACTTGTTAACAACTGAAAAACCAATATTGATATGCTGTTATTAACTAAAATCTATAGTGTACTTCAGGTTTACAGTGTTGTACACTTCTGTGGGATTTGACAGCTGCATAATATTCACCAGTAAAGTATCATGGAGGATAATTTCACTGCCCTAAAAATACCCTGTGCAAAAATATGGAAGCTCATGAATTTACAAGTCATCTTGCATAAAAGCCATGCATCATTTGAGTTTTAGTACATGTGCTACCAAAACAAACACCAGGCAGCTGTTTTCTAAGGTGCTGTCAAATATTATAGCCATTAGTGTTGTCGCTCCTTCCATGTCGTCTATGTCCATTTATTTCTGAAGTTGATCTTGTGTCCTCTACAGTTTTCCAGATATCTTAGTCTTCCTTTGCTGTTTTTTCCCCAGTAAAAACTTTTGCCAGTTACTTTTTATTTGGACATCAAATGGTCCAGGGGTCTAAGATTCTGTTTATTAAATTGTAACACAAGACAGAAGACTGACCTAACTCTTCTTGCATCTAGATGGATTTACCTGAATTCTCATCATTTTCTGGTGGTGACACATTTGTATTTAGTTTTACCTAAAACAATAGAAGTAGAACCTGAGGCCCATTCAGACCATGTGGAACTGCCTAAAGTAATAGTTAGCGATAGAAGTGAACTTCCAAGTGAGTTCTGGTCATTAAATACCATCTGGTTTTTTTTTCCTACCCCCAAGAATATTAGTAGTTCATATTTAGGGGTCACCAAAACAAAGCACAAACAAGATACTGTCTCATTTTGAAACAGGTTCTGAGACACTTGGTTAGTATGTTTGCAGTACGTTACCATATTTATTAACTCTTTAGATTGCCTTTTATAAGACTTTCTAGAATGTGACCTTTGAAGAACCAGGGTTTATTTTAGTCTATTGGATATATCTGTTTTACAACTACATTTCCAGTTTGCATGTGATAATTATAAATGCTACATTTTGGGAAACAGTACCTACTTCAAGTATTCTGTGCTGTTTTTTCCCTCATTAATGTGTTTATGGCATTTGTATAGAAGTTTTTGGCTTGGTTTAGAAAGCATAGTGTCCATATATTGATAATTTCTGAAGAAGAGTGAGAATCAGGTAGGGTAGACTGGTCAGGAATATAACTATGTATGTTCTTACAGTGTTTGTTAATTTCTTCCATTTGCCCTTCCACTTTTCGGTTTTCCTAGTTTGTCTCCCTCCTTCCCTACCCCCCAACCCTGGTGATGGTAGTTGTCTTATGTTGCCTTTAAGACAGGATCTGCAGAATTCCTAAATCTTCTGTATAGATTAATCAGGTTTAAGAGAGGAATGATACAGCAAATATCAGTAAAGAAAGAACACATCAGGGACTTTTCATTGTAAAGTATTTGTAAGATTTTTAGACAGAGTTGTGTGTTGACCTACGTGACTCCAGGAATCACCTTAAACATTGACTATATATAAGCTTCCATTTCATTGCGTGCTAGTCCTGTGTAGACTTTCAGCTTATAAAGACGTTGTCTTATGCAGAAATGGCACTGGCCATCAAGAAGGTAGAAGAGCAGTTTTACTTCCAAGACTGATGGTCAGTCTCTTTAAGTCATCTGTGGTTGTTCAGGCCATTGTAAAGGCGCTGGTCACTTGTCAGAACTTGTATGTTCCTTGAAATGCCTGTGTGTACAAACAGATGTAACCCCTTTGCACTGTGTGGGAAGCCCTTCTTTTTGATCTTTGAGTTATACAAGTTCCACATTGGTTTATATTTAAGTAGAGATTGCTTTAGATTAGTCTGAGTTAAATTGCTTTAGTAATAGTCATAGTTTAAAGGAGATTTTTAAGTATTTTATTCCAGGATATTGATAAATTAAACCACCTACTCTAAAATTAAGTACTACAAGTAATGGAACATATTTCAGGTTCTTGTTTTCTCCCCATCCCCCACCCGGAAAAATAATTGCCCTTTTTTTTACACTATTAAATTTTTTTGAATGTGATAGAAAGGAAATTATCTTGAATATAGTTAAGTTTCAATGAAGCAATTTACATAGGTGAAGGTTTGATCTGATAATATCAAATACAGCACAGTTGTAAAATGTATTGCCTCATTTTCTCTGCATTTACACATGAGAGTTTAATCATTTGAATTCAGCAGGATAATACATTAAAATTATCCTTTGAAATTGTAATATTTTATTATGTTACTTGAACTAGTACATGAGAATTGACAAGATTGTGTTATAAAAAATGGCACTATATAGCTATTTGTACACAGTGCATTTCAAAAAAAATGGTCATCAAATGCAGATGTTTGGAATACCAAAGTCTGAATGGTTGATTCTGATAAAATTCTTCTATTTTATCTTTTAATTAAGCTTTAAATCTGTAAAGTTATTTGAGACCTTGTTTTTGTCTGTGTACATGTATGTAAATACTCTTGGGATCAGTGTTCAGACTCATCTAGAGAATTCTGCAAGTTCATCCTTCCTCTCCCCAGTACATACATCTCATTATTCACGCAGCTCAAATAGCATTCTGTTTATTCCTGTCACATAGTCAAAGTGTGGAATTTTGGCATTGTTGCATTTGAAATTCTTTCACTCAAATCATTGAGGACTTCATCTTAAAATAATCCCGTCTTATTATTTAGCTTCATTTTTAATATCTTTTTAGTGACAGCGATGAGGAAAAGAAAGCAAGAAGAGGCAGATCTCCCAAAGGTGAATTCAAAGATGAAGAAGAAACTGTGACAACAAAGCATATCCATATCACACAGGCCACAGAGACCACCACAACTAGACACAAGCGCACAGCAAATCCTTCCAAAACCATTGATCTTGGAGCAGCAGCACATTACACAGGGGACAAAGCAAGTCCAGAGCAGAATGCTTCAACTCATACACCTCAGTCTTCAGTTAAGGTGGGAACATTTCAGCTGAAGTTTACACATCTACATGGTTTATTGTTACAAACTGCTTTCAGAATTTCTGCATTAGCTAGCTTGTGCATTTTTAGTCAGTAATATTAATTATAGATCACCTGGCATGTATCACTTAGAGTCATTAATAATAAGAAACCTCTTTGGGGTAAGAAACCTGTCCAACTGCTGAGTGATTGTCTAGTACTTTCTATGAAAGTAGGAATGAGGACTGGGGATATAGCTCAGAGGTGTATAGCACTTGCCTAGTATGACCAAGGGCCCCACACCCCAAAAAGATCCCCAGTAAGAAGTGGCAGAAGAGAATGCTGATAATGTAGCTCCATGATAGATTACCAGTCCTAAAAAAAAGTGAAAAGAGGGGCGAATGAGATACATAGAGGAGAAATGACCTCATTTAACACTGACATGGTACCTATAAAGGAAGTTTATTTGCCTTGTGGTTCATTACCAGTCAGTGTTAGGAGCACTGTCTCTTACACCTTCCTCATAGAAATGAAATCCACTTACTAGATAGTTGGCTGTAAGCTAATGTTTCTAACAGAAGTCTGCCAAGAGAGAGAGAGAGAGAGATCCCCCCGGACTATTAAACTGTGTTTTTTGTCACTTTTCCCCCTCTACAGTTTATCCAACTTGCATCTTCTTAACAGAAGCAGCTAAAAGCTGGGAAAAACATTTTACTCATGTATCCTGAAAACTGTAGATAGCTCTAAAAAAGCAAAACCGGATGTATTTAGTGTTAAGAACATGTACTGTCCCCATTTTTACCAAGTATGTTATGGACTGGCATATAATATTCACCCATGTTGTGTTGGAGTTTTTTTGTTGTTTTGGTTTTGATTTTTAGTTTTGATAAAAACCTCAAACTCAACTTTAGTTATAGTTAGAAAATGGCTCTGATATTTCTTCATGGTTCTCTACAGAAGGAGATTTCCCCTCCTGTAGAAGATTATTGATGGCTTACTGATGGCTGATTAGGATCTGGTGAATAGTTACAATAACGAAAACCCACAGGCAGTGTCTCTCGTGGATAACCCATCTGATGTTGCATAAGGAAAAATCAAGCTATATTTTTTTATGATAAATAGAGTTTTGTCTCAGACTTTATTTTTAGTACTAGTCTAGCCTAAATATGTCACTCTGCCATAAATATTTTTTATTGGTAGTATATTTTGTTTCTGTTTTTGTTTTGTGTTGTTTGGTTTTGTTCTTGAGACAGGTCTCGTGTAGCCCAGGGTGGCCTCAACTTGTGATTCTCCTACCTCAGCCTCCTGAGTACAGACTTGCACCTCCACAGCCAGCTTTGTATTATAATATTTTTATTTTTTTCTTATTAATAAAAAAGCTTAGAAGGCTGAAATCGAGATGTTACCCAACTGCTCCAGATCTCTTTTTCAGCTTAAAGGCTCTTTTAAACAACAGTACAGTATTTCAGTCCTCAAATCTCAAGTTACCATGCCTAGAAACTTAAAGTGTTTCCCTATCATCTAACAGTTCAGTTCTAAGTAAGCATATCTATATATATTGAACATGGAGAACATAGTTAGGAAGATAACTGTTAGCACTATTGAGAAACAAAGTTGCTTTCTAAGCTTCTTAATTATGTGTGTGTTTTCAGACTTCAGTGCCTAGCAGCAAGTCATCTGGTGATCTTGTTGATCTGTTTGATGGAACCAACCAATCAGTAGGTAAGTTTCCACATTGGCATTTTCTTTTTAGGGTTTCAGTCATTTTTTTAAATGCCATAAAAAAATGAAAAGTATAATTATTTGTATTGGATTTATTGGTAACATGAAATTAGTGAGAAGAATTATTTGGGAAGAATTGTTTCTTGGCCTGAAAGGGAGAAGGTGCTTAAATATACTATAATCCAGTAACATCCCCTCATTTTCTTTAGCACCTAGGCCTTTATAATTCTTTGGAACAGCTATGTTGGTAATTTTATCTTCTGATGTATGCCTCAAGTTCTCAAAGTTTCCCTTAAAAGAAGTGCACCCAGTTTTATACCTTTTTTGTCCTTCATACCTAGCAAAACCTCTTTGTGGTAGTTAGTGAATAATAATAGTATCTTCAAATCGCTGTAATACTTAAATTTTAGTCACTTCTTATGCCTGATGTAGTGCTCCCTCTCTAATTAGTAACAAATGGTATTTCAAGGTTTGGTGTATTTTCTGAAATTTTCCATGATCAAAAGATTTTGGAGAGTTTAAAGTTCCCTTTTTAATCCCTTGAGATTAATTTGGGAGATATGAAAAATTACATTAAAGCTAATATTTGTTAATGTGGGAGAAAAAATGTGTTACTCTACCCATTTTACTGACTTTCCCTAAATCTTAATTCTTGTTGTCAGCACAGGTATGCGTAGAGTTTGTTGCCTTTTCATTCATTTATCACCAAATATTTCTTGTGCCATATACCTGTCTGGGTGCTTGTAATGGAGGTCTTATCCTCTTGGAAAGGTCAAGTGGAAGTAGTAATCAAGAAACCACAGGTGGTCACCTGGTTACCAACATTTCTAGAGCTTCAGAAGAAAGGGACCTTCTATGAACTTGTGTGTAACTACCTACCAAAACATATTTTAAGAGTGCTATGAGCTGGGCATAGTGGCACATGCCTGTTATCCTTGGAGGCTGAGGTGGGAAGATCACTTGAGCTCAGGAGTTCCAGACCAGCCTAAGCAACACACCAAGAATTTATATCTCAAAAAAATAATAATTAAAAAAGTGTTTCTTCAAAAGAAAAGTTTACAAGACTTTCTCATAGATGAGATTGAAGATTAATTCAGTTTGATTTCCGTTATGTTCTGGATTTTAAGTAATTCCTGATAAGTTTCTTCCAAGAAAACCAATACCTTAGGATTGCGTTGATGGTTACAGTGTTTTAATAAACTATTGTGCTGCACATGAAACCAGCTCAAGAAATAAAATTTCTGTTTAAAGACAGGCTTTCCAACCCAATGTAAAGTTCATTTTACATTAAAATGTGGAACAGCAGGATTGGAGTATAACTAATATGCAAAATAAATATTTCAAGTTCTGTGCAATGATTTTTTCAAAGCTGAATTGTTTTTAAGCTTTTACACTTTAAAGTATAAATCCATGATGGAACTTGCTTTTCATTAATAGATTAGTACGTGTAATTAATACACAACTCCTGTTATTTTCTCCTCTTCCTTGCCTGCCATCATAAAAGTGAACATCTGGTTTGACCTAGCTTCTGAGATCCTTCAGTTCCCTTTTCCCTTTTTTTGTAACTATTCTTAAGATTAGTTTTTAAACTTTATTGGATTGTAATGTCTAATGTTACAGGTAACTGGATGAGTTGTTTAACAATTTAGGTGCTGTCTTTTTTGTGTGTAAGATAGTGTTAACTAGTAGTTAGCACATGGCGATATAATACAGACATAGTATCACACAGTATCAATTATTGTGGACTTCCTGCCATGAAATATTAAAAGACCCCTTTCATGGTCTGAAAAAGTTTTAGTGGAACAGTCAGAGAAGAATTAAGTAGGAAGGTCAGATGAGAAGATGTAACTTTCTTCCTCCGTGATACCAAGATTGCTTTGAACAAAGAGAATTAATAAATACTAACATGCTTCCTTAACTTGGCAAAAAAAAACATAGAGTGGTTTTTCTTCTTTAGTGCAAACAGTAGATTGACTCATGAAATATAAGTAGCAATTAAAAACAGTTTGAATGAAATCTGGGATATTTCTTGACAAAATTTATCTTAATGTTCTCCAAAAAGCAACTAAACATGGATTGATAATTATTTTTAATGTCACCTTCTATTTGAAATAGTATAAACCAGTTTTGCAGGTCACCGTCCAGTCTGTACATAAATTTAGTTACCCCATCTCTTTTTTAATATTTTAATATATTTTAAGTTGAATTCTGCTGTGAAAGGAAATTCCGTATTAAGTCTTTAGTATACCTACACAGGAGAAAAATGTAAGAGTCTGTCATATTGATATTGCTGTTCGGTGTGTCATTTGGGTGTCATTTACCAGATGTGCCCATATTTATAATGGCAGCACCACACAAACCATAAAGCTCAGGAGGTATGCACTGTACCACACTTGTCACGTAAATATCTTCTCTGAGAAAATGCTCAGGTTTTTTTTTCTGTGTATTGCTACATCCTTATTGTTAGCATCTTCAAAAGTATATCTGGTAAAATCATCTTAAATTTAAAAACAGGATGTGTGACCTAATCTCTGTTCATCAAGATTTTCTTGAGACTATTTTAATAAATGTCCTATTGTAGTGATGTTCTTTTGAAACCTGTACTTAAGTGATATTTTGGTGGCTTATATATATATATATAAGACACGTCTTAAGTAAGCATTTTAAGAAATGTATAGTAATTAAATCATTCAGAAAGTAAGTCAGAAATGGAATGCCTAAAACCATTCCTTTTTTTTTTTTTCATATAAATTCAAATTTCTTAGTTGTCATCTTTGCCCCTTTGTTGTTTAGAAATTTAGGTCATGATTAACATACTGTTATATAAAATATTACTAGTATAGTAAATGAGGTTGAAGAGAAAGTATACCATAATCAATGCAACTAAAAAGATTTTATCACATGACTTAGAGTCTGTTTTGAATTCTTAAATTAAAATTTTTAAAGGACTGCCAGTAGCTGACATCCTAGCTACTCAGAAGGCAGAAATCAGGAGGATCATGGTTCAAAGCCAGCCTAGGCAAATAGTTCTCGAGACTATCTCAAAAAAAAAAAAAAAACATTACAAAAAAGGCTGGTGGAGTGGCTCAAGGTGTAGGTCCTGAGTTCAAGACCCAGTACCGAAAAAAAAAAATTTAAGGACTAAGTTATATTGGATCCACAATTTTTATCATATTTGAACCTGTTTTGTTCTTAGTCATTGCTTTTACAAGGCTATGACTTTGTTATATCCACCAACCTATATTAGAATTTGGGTGATGGTTGTCTCTTGTTCTAAGCCAAGTTTACTAAACATTAATTTTTTCTGGTTTTCTTGTTCTGGTGGTACTAAAGCTTGAACTTGGGGCCTCATGCTTGTTAGACTGGTGCTCTACAACTTGAGTCACACCTCCAGTCCTAAAAATTAATTTTCCTAGTATATTTTCACTGATTATTAAAAATAATACATGCTCATTTTAGAAGTGTGAAGGACATTTAGGTACATAATTTAATAACTTCGAATGTTCTTTTTAAAATACATTTACTTTCTTTTTTGTTTTTGGCCTCAAACTCTTGATCTTCCTGCTTTAGCCTCCCAAGTGCTAGGCTCACAGGTGTGAACCACCAGGCCCAGCCTTCAAAGATCCATTTTCTGTATATTTAGTCAATATTTTTATTTAAGCATGTATTCTGTGGTAAATAAAGATTTTTTTCTCTTTTTGTAAACTGCTTTTTACCCAAGAACACTCAGCCATTTCTTTGTGATAACGTACTCTGTTGCAGACATTTTCATTACATTATAACCTTAAAATGTGTGGCTATAGTGTAAATTATTTAAATCAGACTCTTAATTTTCTGGATATTAGGAATTTTTTCCTAATTTTTCCCTATTCTGAGCAAAGTAGCACATCATCACATTTTAGATCTTTCAGGTTTGTAAGAAGAAAATAGTATTTCATTTTATTTTGCATTTGTTTGGTAAATGAGCTAGGATACTTCATATTTTAATAAGCTGGGTATGACTTGTCTATTCATGTTCTTTGTCCATTTTTTCTGTTGGAGGTATTCAATCTTATTGATTACTTAAAAGTTCTTACAGATTATGGATAATTCATAATTTTTCACAATGTCATTTTAATTTAGCATATATTAGAATTCTTCATGTATAAGTTTTTCTTAATACAATATAGATTAAATTCTTAAAGAAAATTTGCATTTGTAGTTTAAGCACTATCTAGCCCTATTTTTCTTGTTCACAGTATTGCTTTGGAAAATGCATATTCCCAGCTGGTGATTGTAAATAACCTCCTTGCTGCCCTGAAAAGGCAGATGGAAATGGTTCATTTGTAATGACAGCTCTCATGTGGGAGTCTTGAAGAATATAGCTCTTGTGAAAATTAGCAGTCTTCCACATGCAGCAATTTTTGATAGACTTTTAATTTCCTTAGATAGATGTTATCTGGGAAAACGCTTTGCATAGAAAATTTCTGTTGAATTTAAAGCATTGGGATGAATGTCTTACAAACAAGTATGGATTATCCCTCCTAAGAGAAACTTTTCTTCAGTTAAATGGAGGTTTATAAATTTTTGAGACAGCTTTCAAAGATCACCTTATGAAAAAGTACTAGGATAAGCAGAATATGTGGCACTTTAAGAGTTAGAGAAACAAGTCAAATCCATGTCAAATAGAGGTGGCTTCTGTTTGCTGATATTCCTAAATTAGTCATGTTGAAATCAAACTCCTTGAAGTGTGGGTAGAGAGGAATGATACTCGCTGTGGATAAGTTAAAAATGCCATGGAATCTTAGTTTAGGAGGTAGGTGATGAAACAGCACAGTAACCAATGTAGGTATTTATCTGAAATACTCAATTCAGGAAAAGTAAAAAGAAACAATTTTTACCCAGTTTTAACTTGTGATCTGTGGTACTCGGCTTTTATCTGTGACAGAATTTTCTTTATAGCTTAGACAAGTTAAGATTTAAAAATCATTGCTTGTTTTATACAGTAAATTACCTGTTAATGATTATTCACTGTCTGGATGAAGCAAATTAAAGTTATCCCCAAATTTCAAATCTCTTAATGTTATAGCCATTGATTAACTGTCATTCTCTTACCCAACAGTATATTTTGATCCATATTTTTAACATGAAGGAACATTATAGAAAACAAACTTAGGAATATTAAGCATGAAGCATTCATTTCCCTGTTAATTTTTATTAATATATGTGTCATTTATATAGTTTACACATCTAGCTCACTGACGTTCTGTGCTCCTCATCACAATTTATGTGATGTCTCCCTTTAAGGAAAAGAAAACCAAGTCACTGTGTTACCGCTCTTAGAATTAACTTCAAAATAGACATGTATGCTGTCGTATGGCAGGAGTGGAGAACCTGTGCTTGGCAGTAGTTCTCTGGTGAGTGAGGATATATATGTGAGCGTGTGCATCTGCCATGTGAAGGAGTGAAGAATTAGTTATACCTGCTGATAGGTCACTACAAAGAATGTGCATTAAAAAGAAACACTAAGTACACATGTATCAGAAACTGATTTGTTCCTTTTATTACAGCTGGCCATTTATTAAGAAGAGGAGATGGTTCTTGTTTAATTAACCCAGTTGAGTGTAGCAGATGGGGCAGAATGTCTTGCAGCAATAAGACAATTCAGAAATAGCACCAGATGTTGGAAGCTGTCTCTGGTGGTGTTTGAGTGCAGTCCAGATGTTCCAGTCCCACCTGGCTAGTTTCTGAGCACTACAGGCTAAGCAGCTGTGATGTAACCTATATAATGTTCACATAACACTAAAAGCACCATAACTGAACTGCTGTTCTATACTTCTAAGGTTTCAACTTTAAGAGGTGAGATTATTAAGGACAGACAAAAATAATGGCAACTATTTTAAGTTTTAGATCTTTGGCTACTTCACTCATAATTGACTAGGAGAAAGCAGAATACTAAAACTTGAAATTTTGTTCAAATTGTTGATGAAAGTAAATGTCTTACAGATGCAGTGTTTGCAAGTAAAAATTGATAAGAGATGTGATGATACATGCATGGAGATTGATTTTCAGCCATGATTTGGATCTCATTCCTTTAAAAATACCAGTTTAGAAATAGTAGCAAAAAACAGTTATTTTTCCATGCATTAAAAATCCAAGTATTTATTCTTTCATGGAGTAAACAGTAGGGAGAAAACAGTCCACCAGAATCATTACATTGATTTTTATATAAATCAGCTTCAAATTGTGAGTGTCTTACCTCCCTAGCAATGTTTTACTCAAATTAAGCAGCAGTGGAAGATTCTTATGAAGAGCATAATTGTCTAGGTAAGCTGCATACCCACATTGCACTTGTGATGGTTTGGTGAGGAATAGCGTCAGTCACACATGTAGTGTCATCTGTCTCACAAAATACAGGACTGAGGAGCGTGAATGTCTTTGGTAGCTTCCAGGAAACCTAGGTTAGCCGACCAGTTCTTGGAGGGGCCTGAGCCTCTATTATTGCATATTTGTGTGGTGTGAGATGCTAAAAAGACTTCCTGCAATTGCCTGCACTTGTTCTCTAGTTCTAACAGTGTAACTTTTTCCTCATTCTTAACTTCTAGGAGGATCAGCAGATTTATTTGGGGGATTTGCTGACTTTGGTTCCGCTGCTGCATCAGGCAGTTTCCCTTCCCAAGGTATGGGGTGATCTCATTGGCCAGAAATCTAAGGATGGTAAAAGGGTTATCAAAAGAGCCCTCCAATCAGCTTTTTTCCTTTGTAGTATTTATTATGCATAATTCCTGAACAGTTTATTCACAAGATATCTTATGGGTCAGTGTCTTAAATGTGCCAAACAGTTGCACACTGCTCAGGTTCAGTTAAAGAAAATTGTCCATCTTCATAACTAACTCTTGTTTAGCTTTGGAGGAAGGATGTGAATAAGCATAAAGTTAATCTCATTTTGGCAGAGATTTATGTTTGGTTTACATGATTTTTCAGCAATGAAACTTTACTTTCTAAAAACAGGAATAATTCTATTTGTCATGGTTTCTTTATAAGAATAAAATAATGTCTGTAGAACTATATTGACTAAGTTTATTGTTAAGTGTCTGTTTTCCTATAGATTGTGAAGGGGTTGTGATATTTATTTTATAAAATCTGGACAGCTCCAAGTTTGTGAGAGAATAAGTAAAAATTTAGCCATAAAAATCTTAAACAAAGAGGGTATATATGGTGGATATCTTATGTATAAAATATAGAACAGTGTAACTTGTTGAAATTATTCTAAGAAGGGAGGGGAGATGAGGGAGTATGAAGAAGGGGGTGAATCTAATTAGGATATATTATAAACACACATGTAAATATCACAGTGCATCCCCCTATACAACTATTAATAAACAGAAGAAACAGCTTTTTGAATGTGGTTTGGGGTTATTGTGATAGCTTACTTTTGTAAATTCCAAATATTTCCTGGAAACCAAAATTGAGTTTCATTTTAGAAGTTTAATTATGCCATTTTAGAAGTTTAATTATACCATCTAAGGGTTGATACCCTACTTTATTCAAAACAAAGTGAAAGATAAACATTACCATAATTTTACAGACTCCCAGAGTAATTCTCAAAGTTTCTGTGTATATAAAGTTGCCTTCTATGCAAATAATTTGAAATGTTAATGTTGCCTTAGTGACACATCTCTTTATCAGTTATGCATGTGATCTGTATAACCTGATCACATTGCACAGAGGGCTGAAACTGTTGCAACAATGATTAATCATTTCTGAACAATGTATGCCCCACTAGAAATCTCCTCCTCCCATGATTAATCATCATAAATACTGAGTTTTCGATGGGGCAAGTTTGCCCCAGTTTCCATTCATATTCTGCTTTATAGATAGAGCAAATGGAAAACCAGCATGAACTTTACATTTATCCAGCACCCTTGCTTAACTGAGTGCAAATTGTCCAGTATAATTGTAAAACTGTTAGTGGAGTCTCTTTTGTAAAGAAGATCAAAGATACGTTTTAGTAGAACCCTGAGGTAGTGAATATTAACCAAGTTCTCTTATTAAACTGTTCGTGGAGTTTGGGGTTTCTAAGTGAGTTATTTTCTTTTTTGAGGGTGCTTATATTTTAATATAGTAATAGAAGAATACAGTTTTTAAAAACTCATGTTACTGTTCTCTTTTGATATTTAGCATAGTGAGATGCAGTTTTCTAGTGGTTGGTTACCTTTTAGACTAGACAGAATGTATTTCCAAGTTGCAAATGAACGTGGAGTGCAAAGAAATGGCGTTAATTAACCTGAAAATACATACTGTCGCTTTCAGATGAGTTTTTATGTAGCTTTTTCTTCACTTTTTGCTTTTTCAACTTCCATTCATATTTGTCCATTTGTCCCTTTCTAAAGGAAGTAATTTACTTTTTATTTGCAAATTCACATAGAGCCTAGTTTAATTTTTTTCTTAAATCACTTACCTTTATAATCATTGTGCTCCAAATGGTTAATATTATGGATGCAGACTTTACAGAAGCTTGACTTTAATGTTTATTGGTACACCTAAAGAAAAGAAAGTACAGGTCCTCAACGGTCACCTGGACTTTACAGTTAATCCAAAGTAATAACAAACTCCAGATGACTATATATTAAATTATTTCATCCTCACAATGTAGGTTTTTAAAGTGAGGCACAGAGAAGTCATTTGCTCAGGGTCGCATAGCTAGTAAAGTATAAAATCCGTGCTCTTAACCACTACAGGCTATCCGTTTACTTGTTAGCCATTTTTATATTGCAGATATCCAATCTCAAACTTATAATTACGCTTTGAAGTGTAGTGATAGGGTTTTGCATGTCTCTGTTTTGTTTTTTAACATTAGCATGATGTGTTAATCAGGTTTTCCATTGGTATGACAATATACCTGAGAAAATAAACTTAAAATTAGAATAGTTTTATTTGGGCTCATGGTTTCTAGCCCATGATTGACCAGTTCCATTGTTTTGGGCCCAAGGTGAGGTAGAACATCATGGCTAGGTGCCTATGGGAGAATAAAGCTGCTTACTCCACGGTGCCAGGAAGCAGAGAAGAGACAGAAAGGAGTGAGGGACAAGATGCATCCTTCAAAGGCATGCACTGGGTGACCTACATCCAACAACCAGGCCTCACCTCCTAATAAGCGTTCTGTATAAACTCATTATTGGATTAACTCCTTGATAAAATTAGCACACTTAGACTAAGGTAGAATGAAGAAAAATAGAGGAGATAAACCAATTGGGGTTATAGTACATACATACGTGGAAATATCACAAGGAAACTCCCTGTGTAGCTACCTTCATCACAGGCAAGCAAAAAATGTATTTTTTTCTTCTATAAAATTGGAGAACAGGAAGGTGAACAGGTCCTGCAAGGTGGGGGGGTGGGGGATTGTAACCAAGGGGGAGGGGGAGGAGGGGAAAGAGGATAGGAGGGTAAAAATGATACAAATAGTGAGTATGCATGTATGTAAATGCAGAAATAATACCTGTTGAAACTATTCCAGGAATGGGAGGAGGGGGGGGATAAAGGAGAGCAGGGGAGGGGGTGAATTCAAGTATTTTTGATATATTGTAAGAACTTGTTAACACCACAGTGTTCCCCCCACCCAGCAAAACAACAAAAAATAAATTTCTAAAAAAAAAGTTAGCAACCTTATGATATAGTCATCTCTGAATAGTGCCACCAGTTAGGGACCAAGCCTTCAGCACATGAGCCTCCCGAAAATATTTCAGGTTCAGACCGTTGCACACGATCTTCCTTCCCTCCTTTTTTATTTAAATAAATTGAACAATCTGTTGAAACAAGCAGTGTACTAAAGGTTGCATCAGAGCTTCTCAGTGGACACACAGCTGAATGAATGAGACCCTCTTACAGAAATGTATTAATTACTGCCCTTAGTTTATTAGGCTTTTTTCCCCTCCATGCTTTTCTGTTTTGTTTTTAATCAATTTAATCTTATGAATTTGGGGTTTAAAAATTACATAAGTATAAATTGTAGTTTGCTTTTTCCTTGAACCTTCTCCTCACATGAGGATTCTGGAGTTCCCAACAAAAAGCTTAACCAGTTTAGAATTTCCTTCTTATTTTGAGTCCTAGACTAGGTCATGTTTGTTTAGCTGGAAGCAAATATATTATGCAAACTTGGTTGAAGGGAAGTTTTGATGGTAATTTCTATGTTACCTTTAGACCTGCCAAGAGATGAATTTTATTTTCTATGTGGAACTCTGGTTTTTTCCTTTACCACCTTGTTAACACTTGTGTAATATTCATGAGAGTGATAATGTGCAGATGGAACTGGTACCTGCAGGTGTTAATCTGGATGAACTCCATTGAACTCTAATTAGTTTCCGTTCATAGACTATTTTTCTGTGCATTTCAGAAAGTTTCTTACCCTTACAGTTCTTTCTGTCTTAGTAACAGCAACGAGTGGGAATGGAGACTTTGGTGACTGGAGTGCCTTCAACCAAGCCCCATGTGGCCCTGTTGCTTCTGGAAGCGAGTTCTTTGGTAGTACCCCACAGCCAGCAGTAGATCTTGTTGGTGGCTCACAACAAGCGTTAGGCGCACCTCCATCTGCCTCAAATTCTTCTGACCTGTTTGATCTTATGGGCTCATCCCAAGCAACCATGACATCTTCCCAGAGTATGAATTTCTCTTTGATGAGCACTAATACTGTAGGACTTGGTTTGCCCATGTCAAGATCACAGGTAAGTTGTAATTTTCCTTGGAAACTGTGACTTGTAATCTTGTAATCTAATCTAGTTGATAGGTTAGTGTAAGACATAAAAATAAGCAAGCCTTTCCTATGTGCACATATCTGTGTGTACATACCTATACGTGTATAGCAACATGTTGCTTAACGACAGATATGGTCTGAGAAAAGCACCATTAGTCATTTTCATTTATTGAATTATAATAAATTGGTATTTAATAGTGTTTAAATTTGTTTTAAGGAAAAGGAATAGATGTATTTCATACATGGCATGCATTCACTCAGTAAAATTTCTGGTCATGTTTTTATAAGAGTATCACTCCTTGGTTATAAACAATCACCACTAATGTAGAAAATTGTTCTCTCAGGTGGTGAATGTTTACCCTGTGCTGGACCTCTGCTCTATATTACAGAAACACAGGCTTTCCCCAACTTTTATTTTCCTAAAAGAAAACAACTTCAGTGAGAGTTTTTGCATTTACTTTTTAATAGTTAAATCCAATTATATGCTTCTAGCTTACAATTTGAACAAACACGGCTTGTAAAATATCTGAGCTAGTTTTGACTCACACTTTTGAGAATATTTATTTATGGTGCTGATTACTCATTTTGTTAGATTCTTGTGTCTTGGGTATTAGAATGAAGAAAGAGAAGAAAGAAGCAGAAAGGTGACTGCTGTGTATAGCAGAAATTAGACTAACATGATCTAAGCATGAAATCAGTCTGCTCTATTTGCAGTCATAATTGAAACTGTGTTAAAGTTCTTTGCATTGGCGCATTTTAAATGATTCTTTTGTTCCTACTCCTTTCTCTTTTTTTCTATCATTTTCATAGTTGTCCTTAGTAACCAGCAGGCACATCTGCTTTTTTCTCTTGAATTTCTCCTGAATTAATCCACATTCCACCAGTATTGCTCACTTTAGACAGTGTAAGTGTGCTCAGAGTAGGGAAATGTCAGGATATGTGAAACATAATTTAGTATTTGATGGTTTTGCCTTTTATAGCATGAGAAGTCACATATTGAGTTGTGTATTTCCTTAAGCCATGCTAACCTGAAGTTGGTGATTCCTGGGTATTTGTCAGGGATGATGGCTTCTAGACTTTGGGTTGCAGGAGAATAATTGTTAGTGTAGATATGTTGGGGTTTTCAACCCCAAACCCAGTTGGTACTTCAGAGGGACCTGTTTAGGTAACTAATGATGCAGAGTATTGAAGACAGCATAGAACATTTGTGATTCTTTTTGGCTGATAATCTTTGTAGAACAGATGCTTAATTTTTAGAGCATTTTTTTATTTTCCAGCCTTTGCAAAATGTTAGCACAGTGCTGCAGAAGCCTAATCCTCTCTATAATCAGAATACAGATATGGTCCAGAAATCCGTCAGCAAAACCCTGCCCACTACTTGGTCTGACCCCAGTGTAAACATCAGCCTAGACAACTTACTGCCTGGTATGCAGCCATCCAAACCCCAGCAGCCATCACTTAACACAATGATTCAACAGCAGAGTAAGTTACTCAACATACTCCACTTCTTTATGTATTTCTAGTCTTTTGCCCTGGTACCAGGACTACTTCAAGCATTAAAATAAAAATTCGTAACATAAACTATAGGGAAGTGAAGACAGCTTAAGATACTTTTTCACTTGAGATCACTCTTAGAGCATTGACTGACTTTGTATTTTGCATTTGATACAACATTTATTGTATTGTGGTGAGTTTGGGGGGTTGTAATCTCTAAACTAAAAATATTTGTAGCTGGGCATGGTAGTGCACTTCCACAGTCTCAGCACTCTGGAGGCAGAGGCAGAAGGACCAAAAGTTCAAGGCCAGCCAGACCTATAGAGAGAGACCCTAAGTTCCATCCCCAGCAGCTCTCTCCCCATCACCCTACTCAAAATTTGCCTTACAGTTGTTTTGTAAACAGTGATGAAGAAACAACAGTTATCTAAATTACCCAGTGTAGACATAGTCTCCATATTTCTTTTCATTTTTCTAAACGTGTTTCTGATGCTTGGAGTCATCCTGTCTACAGTAACTTATTTCTTGCTGCTCTCATTCAACAATTAATTCTGATGGTTTTTCCTGTGTTCAACATTCTTAGGAGGAAAAACTAATAGTTAGATTTTTATAGTTACCATCATATCAATGTGCAGTTCCTCTTGTTGATTATTTAAGTTATTTTCAGTTTTCTGTTGCTGTAAATAACTATGATTTTATGCTTCTGATTTTTCCTTAACCTATTCTGAAAATAGAGTAACTCAAAGGATGTGAACTACTTTTAAGACTTTGATAGCTGCTGGCTTTTGACTATTTGTTAGGTAGAATTCAACAATAGGTTTTGCAGCAGTGTTTTCGGGTCACTCTTATTTTTCCCACTTATTATTCCTGTATCTCTGGGAAACCAGGGCCAACAGCCACTGATTTGTTAAGAGTAACAAATGCAGATTAATTGAGTTTTATAAACTCACTGTGAATGAAATTTATTGGGGCTAGAAGTATTGATGCTCAAGAAAATGTATATTATTTTGCTGCTCTGTGAATTTTAAGAGTTTAGTTGTAAAGGGTTTTTTCGTCTTTTTTTCTTGTAGATATGCAACAGCCTCTGAATGTGATGACTCAAAGTTTTGGAGCTGTGAACCTCAGTTCTCCTTCCAACATGCTTCCTGTCCGGCCACAAACTAACCCTTTGGTGGGAGGACCCGTGCCCATGAGTGTGCCCCACATGATGACTGGCCCTCTGGGAAATGCTCCAATGGTGAAGCAGAGCATGATGGGGATGAACATGAGTGTGGGGGTGCCAGCGGCCGGGATGGGCTTGGCAGGCACGGTGGGAATGGGGATGCCCGGCATAGCCATGACTTCTGGAGCTGTGCAACCTAAGCAAGACGCCTTTGCAAATTTCGCCAACTTCAGTAAATAAAAACTGTCAAGAAGCAGATTGAATGAAGAATTTTTAGCTGTGCAGATAGGTGATGTTGGGATGGAAAATGCTAATCAATTCCCTTTTCTTTTATCAGTTAATGAAATAAACCTACATAAAGAACCAAAAAGGCTGTTTTATAAAAATGAAATACCTGGTATTTCAAAAGGCCACACACGAGCACTTCAGTAAGGCCGTCACAATCGTTTTGCCAGTGAAGACAGACCACAGATGGGTTTTGAGACCACTGAAAGCCTTTATAAATTGAAGAGGCCATTTAATACCATAATTTGTGGCAAGACTGGAATAGGGCTGAGTAAATGTGCTTGAATCTCTAATTTTGTACTTTTCTTTTCCTGAGGAACTTGATTTTTCTGTCCTTGAATCGCCTTGTCATAATTGGGTCTGTTCCTTTTACTACCACTCCTGAGTCCATATATATGGAAAATCATTAAAGTTGGATGATCAGTTTTTTATAAAAATATATATATTTTTGTCCAAAAAAAGGCATACATATGTGATTATGGCTAAATCAAAGGTAACTGGAATGTATATACTTTTGCTAATGTTCCAGCTGTTACACTATCCAAATTTTTATTGTAACAAAACCTCTTTAGCAATTGGTGATAGCTGAGGGACTTTTTCCATGTGTTCTGCTTGTAATTATCCTGTGCAGAACTAGGAAAAATATTTTTTTTAGGACTGCTCTGTGGTTTCCTTTAAAAGAAGAAGAAGGAAAAAAAAAAAACCCCAGTATTTTTTGTTTGTTTTTAGCAGTCATTATTTACAATTCACAGTGATTAACTTGGCAAGGCTTCCTTCCGTGTTTATCCCTGTAGCCATCATTTAAGTCAGGAATAGTCAAAAGAGAAAAATATTTATTTTTGCCTTTTTTGTTGCCTTCAAAAAATTGGAAAGGTAAAAATCCATTAAAACCTTAAGTTAAATATAAACGTTAAAATTCAGCAGCATTCACTTTTAGACTTTATACAGTATTTGTTTTGTTTGGTTTTGAGTGTGTATAATAATATGACATTAGCAATACGGTTCCAATAGAGAGGAGTTAAATATATATTATTCAAGGAGACCTGTAGCAGTCAAAGATTTTATTGATTTAATGACAAATAAAGGAAATTAATTAAAATGTTTTTGTTTTCCTGCTGTAATTCTGCATTAAGCTCACATGAAAATCATGACTCTAGAGTTTGGAATGCAAAATTAATTGTTTCAACCTCAAGCTGGGAATAATTTTTTAAAATAAGTACTATAATATAGGTATCAAATTATTACCTCCCCACTTTATGTTGAAAAATTTTTTTATTAAATTGATAAAAACTTTGTTTCAATTGTATTCATGATGTTCTGTTATATATGACATTAAAATGTTGGTTGAAATCAGTGTTGAACTGCTTTTTCTTTCATTCCCTTAGACATTTGAGACCATTTGGGGAAAAAATAATTATAATTTGGGCAAAGTAATTTTTATAAATAATTTAAAATTATTTAATGACTTCCATTCTTTCCTATCAGACTCTACTGTTAGGAATTAAAAATGAAGCAGCAAAGATACCCTGACCTGCTCCGTTCTCACTAATGTTCTATCTACAACATTTCTAATTAGGCAGAAATTCATGTACTTCAGCTGAGTGGTAATGAAAAGTGATTCATTTGCTGAATAAGAGATGAGAGAGTGTAATTAGCTGACTGCGGTTTTTAATCTTTCAACAATGCAGTGTGTTTAAACTCGTTTCAGAGAATGGGCGCTTTCGAGTGCTGTTCCTTCAGAGTGGTCAAGCCAGCCTCTGGTGGCATCACCACAGAGTGTCTTCACTTAGGTTTCTACCCTGCAAGCTCACATATGTTTTTAAAAAATTGAGAAGTGTATCTTTGCCTTCTCAAATACATACGGTTCTTAAGTAAATATTTTATACCTGAACATTTATGCTTAATTTTTTTCTAATAAAATTTCTCTCTTAAAACATTTTCTACACATTCCCCCTTCCTACATTATATTTCTGAGGACATGGGTCCCCCATTCTCACATTTGAACTGTGCTGTATAGTTTGCTGTCTTAACAGTATTTTTTGTTTTAGAGCCCACAAACAAGAAGAGCTAAGAGCTGCCTCATGGAGGGCCTCTCCAGTTTTTTGTTTGTTTGGTTTCAGTTATTTCATTTCTTGAGACAGGATCTTGCTGTGTGTCCCAGGCAGGACTGGAACTGATCTCCTGGCTTCGGCCTCCGAGCATTGGGATTACAGGGATGTGCCACCACACAGGCGGGGCCTGTCCAGCTTTTGTCTCTGCAGGGGTTACTTACTAAGTGATACTTCAAAAACAAGCACAAAGACCCCAAAATTATTCGAATTTGGCAAGAAAATAGTCTTCCTTTATCTTTAGGGCTCCCTTTTGCCCATCCTATACACCTCTTTCCCTTTTCAAACAGCTTTTCTAGTTTTTGTTCTGCCTCATTTTGAAGGGGAAAGGAACTGCTCAAACAGTTCAGACATGGCAGGTCCACACAGCTACTCCAGATTCGTTTTTGTTTCCCTCTGTATTTGTGTTTACAGAATTCTCAGCTACCTTCAAGAACCATGAAATGTACAGTCGCTAATAATAAATGTGGTTACTTACATTTGGAGAGAAGGGTTAGTACTTTTTCCTCAAATGTTTATGAAACAGTTTTCTTAGAGAACTTTATCTCATCTCATTCTGAAAATCAACCAGCACAAGCTAACGTTCTAGCTAAGCTCTTAGGAAATAAGGCAAATTGTGACAAAGGTATGCATTAATTTTCTGGACAGTATCCTCTCCCAAATTAAAGACACTATAAAATTTGTTGGAAAAATATTACATTTACACTTGAGTCCAAGCCATTCTGAACGTGGCGGGAACCCACAGTTCGGTTACCTTTCCCACTCTGCTTTCTCCTCTTGAGGGTCAGGATCGGAGTCTGTGTCATTTGAGTGGTGTGTGAGAGAATTCACTGCCCGTGGGAGTCTACACTTTCATACCCCGCACTGAGTTGGTTTCTGTAACTACCACCTCCTCTGCCAGTTCCATAATAAACTAGTTTTGTATTTCAGCTCTCCTAAGTAACAGCATTGCATTGCAGAAAACACGTTTCAGCCACTGCTGTCTGTGTGTGCTCAGTCGATTACTTGGTATCTCTGGGCCCTGTTAACATTTCTTCTAAAATGAACCAAACAAAACAAAAACACACACGCTTCCTGTTGTTTCCATCTTAGAATTAACTTGTCTCGTGCTGTCACTTTGAAGTCTGTTTCATCCAGACGAACCTTTTTGGGAAGAGGCTCTTCGTTGGTCATCTTGAGTCCTCTCCTGATGGAGGCCTCGCCGCAACCCCTGCGCTCCCCCGAGATGTAAGCATTTTGAATCTTCTTTGAAAAGAGAGTAAAATGGGTCAAAACTAGGGCCTGGTGACTTTGAATACTTGATGTTCTCTGGCACACACCTTGCCGAAGGGTGCTGCTATAGAAGTAGAACATCCGTGGTCACAGTTGTCCTTACCATGGATAAATTTAATACCAGCCATGGGATGCCAGCTTCCATGCACTCCACAAAATGGGTCTGCTCTGTGCTGAGTGCCTTAAATACGTCGATTCGCCTCGTTCTCGTGGCCTGTAAGACAATTGCCTTCTGGTCACAGAGAACAGAGAAGCTGAAAGAAGTACTAAAAATTGTTGGGTAGGGTCTCCAAAACAGGGACTGTCGTTTTTTAGTGACTGATCAGGGCAGGATCAGTGGTCCAGAAGGTTTGACAGGTTTTTACCACAGAAAGAAAGAATTCTAGGCAGAACTACTCATCTGAGCACTAGTGCATAGAGTAGGCACAAAGTTTATTTTTGTTGATGAGTGAAGCATTGAAGGTCTGATATTTTGGGTATGACAATCTAAAATCAATTTTAACTTTTTTTCCTTTGGCTGTACTGGGGTTTGAACTCAGGGCCTTGTGCTTGCTAGGCAGGTGCTCTACCACTTGAGCCACACCCCCAGTCCTCTTTTGCTGTGGTTGTTTTTGTTTATGCCCAGGCCAGCCTGACTGCTATCCTATTTAGACTTCCTGCAAAGCTGGGATAACAGTTGCGTGTCACCACACTCAGCTTTTTGTTGTTTTTGCAGTACTGGGTTTGAACTCATGGCCTACACTTTGAACCACCCCCCAGCCCTTTTTTGTGATGCGTTTTTTGTTTTGTTTTATTTTGTTTTTCTTTTTTTTGAGATAGGGTCTTACCACCTATTTGTCAAGGTCTGACTTCGAACCTCTATCCCTCTGATCTCTGCCTTCTGAGTACCTGTGATGACAGGTGTGAGCCACCGGGCCTGGCCACGCCCAGCTTTTTAATGAATTGATTGGGGGTCTTGCTAACTTGTTGCCCAGGCCAACTTCAAACCACAGTCCTCCCACTATCTGCTCCCGAGTAGCTGAGATTACAGCAATGAGCCACTGTACCTGCCCCAAACTTTTTAAATACGACTAAAATACACCCTAGTGGTCTAGGTTTCAGTATTCATGTTTTTTCATGTTTTTCTCACTTCTTTTAGCCATCAAAAATTAAAACAATACTAAGACAGGCATGGTAATTCTAGTGACGTAAAAAGCCCAAATCTTCCCAATTAGGAAATGAGACTGCAATACTGTATGGGCTCCCAAGTCAGGACCACTACCCAAATTTTCTTTGATGTGTTCAATCATTTTTGTGACCTCCCCACTGTCTGCACTATTTCAAGTTGTGCACCACAGTAATTGTGCCAGGAATGACCATCAGATCGCCACAGGGAATTGTGGACAAGAGTCACATGATACAAGAGGAGCCTCAAGATGCTGTCATGAACGGTCAGAAGTGACAGAACTGAGGTAAGTGGGGAAGACCTCTGAGCAGGGAGGTTTTGCAGAGCTCTGAAGACAGAGAAGGGGGCAGCGATGTTAGTGAGAGGAAGGGACAGAAGGGTCAGTCATGGAGAATACTCAGGTGAAGACGCCAAGGGGGGTGAACTGCAGGTGGGAGCAGATGCAGCCCCAGGCCCACCTGAGAGGATTGATGGGGAGACAGCTTAAGACATGAAATAATTGCTTAGGATGCTAATTACCTCACTTTCCTCTGAAGTTCCTTGGAACTGTCCCAACCCAACAAGGAGTATTCTGAAGGCCTTGCCTGCTTTCCTTGTCAGGCTTGTCAGAAGGGCTCACTTTACTTGAACTTGAGGAAATTTGAGTGGAAGATTGTATGGCAGTCCTTTAATACTGTCAGACATCAAATGCACTAAAACTTTATATTTGAAAGGCATGAATTATTTGTATAAGGGGCCACTTATAAAGTGCATTGGGTGTTTTAAATAATAGTCATTTAAATTTGTCTATTACAGTTTGCAGAGTGAATTCATACTCATTTCTTCCCTGATGTGCACAACAGCTGTATGTTGTGAAGGTAAGACCATTAATACCACCTTGGTATGGATGAGGAAACAGCCCATGAAAGATGCAGGTAGGAGGGGAAGCCTCACCTCCTAGGACAGGTCCTTGAATTCAAATTCGATTTCATTGCACTTGCCCTCCTCTCCCTTCTATTAATATTTCAGAGCTTGGAACTTGGAGACTGAACACTCACAAAGATAAATTGTCAGCTCGTCCTTGCGTAGCCCTGAGCTCTGGCCACTTTATCCCCAAATGCCATGTAATATTCCACCCAGGCAGCCAGTAAGTGATTGTCAACTAATGTGGTTTGAAGCACTGAAATGTTTCTGTAATCTATTTGCATTTTCTAAAGGTCAAAAACAGGAGATGAGCCACAGAGCAAATAAAAAACGCATCTCTTCTGGAGGGTAAACCTTGTGTGTGTTTTGTAGAAATGGTGATGTAGCTTAGTGTAAGACATTGGCCAAGTCTCTAAAGCAGAAAACTCCAGGAGACTCAGAATATAGTATAACACAAGTGAGTGAAAGATGAGTCAGAAGAAAGAAAGCTGAAGGTGGAAGTTGCTGGATTGCTCGCCAGTTAAGGACTCCGTTTGAAAAAGTGAGTGCAGTGTTTGCTAAAGCGTATGTTCTTGACTGTTTTTAAATCACTCCTGTGATTCTTGCACTTGAGATGCCCAGCTGCGACTGAAACTAGAATGGAGTTTCTACACGTCAGGTTGTTCTAAAGGGAATGTTTGAATTGACATCTTCAGGGCTTCAAAAAGACATTTAGAAATACTTAGCAATTTGAAAACACTACCTTGACTGTCAGTAGCTGAACGTCCTTATTTTTTGGTGGGGGTGATGGAAAATGAGGTTTCGAGGCATAGGTCACACAAAGAACCATTTTCAAGTCCTCTTCTCTAGGAAAGTAATAAAATTAGATAAAAGAAACATTAAAGTATCTTTATTTTAATTTACTAGGTTTATCAGTGGTGCTCTATAAGCCTAATTCCTATAATAAACTTAGAAAGGATAATATAGTTGAAAAATTTGTCAATTAAGGACATTTCGGGGCTGGTGCAGTGGCTCAAGTGATAGAGGACATGAGACCCTGAGTTCAAGCCCCAATACTGCCGAAAGGAAAGGAAGAAAAAAAACATGTTCTCATACGTACACATGCAGTGTGTATACATGTTTATACACATACAGAATCTGTCTTTATATATAATAAAGGTTACTCTTAAATACTGTCTCTTCACCAAATTTTTTAGATGTCCCAAGAGCTCTCAGATTTGAATGATAAAAAGGGTGCCATAAGGTACCGCTTTAGTAATTAACTAGTTCTTTAATAAGGCCTCAATTACTTTGTTTCTTGATAAGGAAAAAAAAATGTTCCAAGACAGTTACATTCGACATCTGGGAACCTCCTAACAGCTGGCTACCTAATGAATATGCATCTGTTTAAGAGGCTGTAGACCATTAATAAACCAATAGATGGAAAGCAGAACCAATCTTTGTCAGC